AGATTTATTAATCCTGTCTTGCACTAAGGACACAATTTCTCTTGTTATCTACAAAATTATTTCTGATTTCCATTTGAATTGTTTTTTTTCTTTGAAATTTAATGTTTTCTACTTGTTTCTAATGAATATGTGTTATGTCTATGGCCAAGTCATTCATTTAAGTATAAAATAATTCCAGGCCAAAAATTTTATTTCTCCACCCTTCAAGTGCCAATTGTAAAGAAAGTATGACTCAGGAATTTCTTCACTAACTTCCTAGTAAAAAAAAAATCGTGATTAATCACTGAAATATAAACATTATTCCTGTCAAGAATATTGACTCTATGTCAGTTTAAAAAATAAATGAATGAATTTCAACAGAAACTTGGAGCATGACATAAGAAGATGAAGTGTTTGTGTTCTACATGTAAGACTTCTAAGGGAAAAGACAAAATCTTGTGTTCATTAAATCCTTGAACTTTTGTTCTTGGAATTGGGCCAAGAAATCTTCCCTAAAAATTGATCCCCGAGGATGACCAAAGGCTGCAGTGTTCTGAATGCACAGTATATTGAGGCTGACTGGGAGGAGAGGCACACACTGGTCTGTTTCCATTCACAGGTCTCCCTCAGACTCTTTTCAGAGGAAACTTCGGGGTGAACTTTCCATCTGATCAAGACTTGAACAAAATTTCTAGGGTAATACAGTTTACCTCAGAATAAAATAATGAATGCAGAATATCATAAAGATAAATTACCCCTAGAAAAACAAACGGATTACAATAATTTCCTGTTCACCATATGGTTACATATTTTATTTCTGAGAATATTTTGTGCTTGACAAATTTCTAAATGGACTACATTACAAGACAGTTTTTTCAGCAACTTTTGTGAACTGTAAGTATCATTCTGAGAACTGGAGGGGATTATACTAGATAAAATAAAAGGGATTTTATCAAAAAAATGTACAAATATAACATTTGGGCTTCATTTTAGGTAAACATTTGCTGAAAAAAGAATCTATAGTTTGTAAAATGAAAGTATACAAGCAATGTACATATTCTGAAAATATAATGTTGTGAAGAAAATTGATTTTGAATAGGCAAGTTAAAAAATACATTGTTAACAGAGGTGAAGGCCCATACTGCCTCTAGCTGCCTCAAAAAAGTGGGGACAATTTATACTGGTGTAAAGAACATGGTTATTTACACCACAAGAGAGACAGGACCTGTTCTCCTCACAAATCTCTGTCTCCTTTTGTTAATTTCTGCCAGGGCTTTTATGTCCAGCTGACTCCAAGCTCCCTCCCTCCCTTTTCCAAGTTAAAGCAGACCTTGACTTCCTGTGGTGGTATTTGAATGTTCTTCTCAGGTCATCGTGATATTTCTGAGATGAGAATTCATTTTCTGTGGAGTCATTTGAGTGTAGGACAGGGAGAGGATTCCTGATCTCAGCCAGGGGAAGCTGGAGAAGAAGGCTATTTTTAAAAATCCAAAAGTTTTAAGAATTAATTTTTTTCTCTCCGTTACTATATCTCCAGGAATTTAATATTAATTTGACTCACCTAAGTCAGCAGACAAAATTACTTTAGTGAGTGTAATAAGTTATTGGGAACAAATGAGCACTAAACAATACTTTAAAAATGATTTTTCACATGGTCAATTATATGTTCTAATTCAGGATTAGTAAAACAAGTTCTTATCTGGAACACAGTATTGTAAGTCTGTTCTCTGAAGTAAAAATATCTAGGTAGAATCAGTGGCAATATGTAACTGCTCTTTTTTACATAAGTAAACTCTGTGGCCTTTTTGGAAGGAAAGTATGTGGATAAGTGTCCCTAAGGAATAATATTTTCCTAGAAATTGAATATGTAAATAACGGAAAGGGTTTATAATAGAGTTGGTTTCATGCTAAAAACAGGATGTAACCCTTCAATATATCAAACAATTGGCATTTTATGGCCTTATTTATGCATGGTAATTGCATTTTTTCACTCTTCTTCACAATGTTTTTCATCAATTTCTGGAAATGCTATTGAAAATACTGAGCCACTCAAATAAACGCAAAAATGGATAAAGAGTAATTTCTAAAATTTATTATTCAACAGATAATTGCAGTAAAACACCATGGGTAGATGGAACTCCACCAGTGTGCCTGGCTTCATTCTCATGGGGCTGACGGACTCTGCAGAGGCAAAGCTGGTCCTCTCCGTGCTCTTTCTCCTGATTTACCTGATCACAGTGCTGGGGAACTTGGGGATGATACTGATCATTTGCCTGGATCCCCAGCTTCATACCCCCATGTACTTTTTTCTCACTCAACTGTCCCTTCTTGACCTCAGCTACTCAAGTGTTGTCACCCCTCTAACCTTACAGATCTTACTGACTTTGACCAAGAGCATCTCCTTCCTGGGCTGTTTCACCCAGATGTACTTTTTTATACTTTTTGTTGCTGCTGAATGTTTCCTTCTCTCCTCTATGGCCTATGATCGCTATGTAGCTATCTGTAGCCCCCTGCACTATCCAGTCATTATGTCCACAAGACTGTGCCTTGCCCTGCTCACTGGCTCCTATGTTGTGGGCTTTGTGGATTCCACTGTGGTTGCAGTTTCCATGAGCAGACTGCACTTCTGCAAGTCTAATGTCATCCATCACTTTTTCTGTGACACATCTCCAATTTTAGCCCTGTCCTGCAGTGACACTTCTGAGGTTGAAATCCTTATATTCATCTGTGCTGGCTTTTCCCTAGTACTGTCCCTCAGTACCATATCTGGATCCTATGTGTCCATTCTATCCACTATTCTGAAAATTAATTCTACTGCTGGAAAGAAAAAAGCCTTCTCTACATGTGCCTCCCATCTCCTGGGAGTCACCATATTCTACAGCAGTACTATCTTTACTTACCTAAAACCAAAGACATCCTACTCCTTGGGAAGGGATCAGGTGGCTTCTGTGTTTTACACTATTGTGATCCCCATGCTCAATCCTCTCATTTACAGTCTCAGAAACAAAGAGGTGAAGAAAGCTGCCCTGAGAGTCCTGCAGAAGAGAGAGGGTGCTGGACAATTAAGATAATAGTGATGCTAGACATTTACACATTTCCCCTTGTCTTTTTTCTTCTAGGAAATTATTTGAGCTGTTTCTGAAAAATTGATAATTTTTTTCCTTTTTCCAGCTCTTCTTTACCTAACAAACATGATCTTGGCAATTTTGAGAGACAAGTACTTACAAATTCACATTATATTTTGGAGTCATTAATTAAGTCTTAAATCTAAGGTGTATATGTCTGCTATTAAGGAAAATTTTTATGCAAATGGAAATTTTTTGTGATTTTATAATCTATATAAATACAATATTTCTGCAAAAATACATTTTCAAATAATTTTACGATGAAAATCAATTCATTTTTCATGTGTCATTCTGTTTATAGTGATGTTCAGAAGCAAAGTTTGGGGAATTGCTTTCAAGTCAATATTACTGCACTTAGATTGTACATCTGGTGCTTCTCTGGCATTTGACAACCAATTATTCACTGAAATAATATGGTCCTGTATGCCCACATGCATAATATGTAATAATTCCCCTATCTCTCTCATCAGAAGATGGACATAAAACTTTCAGGACAATAAAATAAGTGCTGACCATTATCACCAGAAGCATAGAATCATAGAATATTTTGACATAATAAACACTATGTATTTCTGAAGAGTATTCCCTTATGCTTTACAAATCTCTTTTATTCAATTTAATTTCCAAACTAACAAACAGCTAAAAATATGGGTCAGCAGTTCCCACTTTAGGATTAGGTAATATATTGAAGTAGAATTAACTGATAGGAGAGTGATACATCTTAATGTTGAAGACAATTTAGAAAATGATGGATATATATAAAAGAGAAATAAATATCTGTGTTGCCTGTTTTGTGCATGTTTTTCTAAAGCGGTGGTTATTAATATATGTCTATATATATTTAATGCAATTCCTGTCATTTCTTATATAATCTTTGCCACTTTACTCATCTTAAAGTTTACTATCTAATAAACTACGTAAAATTAAAACATGTAAGATTACCATGTACTCAGCATATGAGAAAAATGACTACTTTCTTTGAATAGTGCTTTGAACCTGAAAGATACTGAAGTTACCAATTTGAAACTAGTGAGCAATAACAGCTGTTGAATGTGTTCTTATGAGCTACAGAAAGCCCAAACCTTTCTGTGACATGACAATGAGCTTCAACCACTGGCTTTTTTGCCTTTTTCCTGATTTCTTCAGGTTTATAGTGTTCTTTCAAAATAAATTAATGATTATCACATTTGTCTCATATGTTATACTTTTAAAATAAACTTGTTGCAAAGAAAGAATTAACAATGAATTTACAATATGTGGCCGTCCTTAAACTTAGATTGAGAAGAGGGATAAAACTCCTAGTGTAAAAATATTTTTCTCTACATTTATAATATCAGCTTAAAAATTCTGTTTGATAGCTTAAGGTTATTGCATAATATACAGTTTTATTTTCCAAGTAAGCTATTTTTTTTACTTAAATTCTTTTATAGGTACATTTTAGGTATACAATACTTTTACATTTAACATTGGGTGCTTGTACCTGTACATGATGTATTTTGTTTCTTATTTTTTCCCCATTACCTGTGAGCCCTTCACCTCTCCACCCTTCCCTATTTACATAGACTTCATTTCCATTTTTTTTCTTTTCTCATAATTTTTCTTTTCCATTCTTTCCTTTCCCCATCTCCTCCCACCACCCCTATACCTTTGGACCTTTTTCTATTTCAAAGTAAGCTATTTTATTCAAACTTGTTTAAAAATTATTAAACTGATTGCCTTATTCCAAACATGTGATTATAAAAATAACTACTTCTTGAAATTCAAATTATTGTATCCAAATAGTTTAAAATGTAACATATTACTCTTACTTTCAAAGCAGTGAGAAAATTATGCCTTTTATTATATCAATATTACTTATAATCTTTTTATATTTAACTTCAATATCTGCCTTTTCACGAATCCATATTTGTAGATATTCCTGGTTGTCTTTCTTTGTGATTGGATTTTAGAACTTAATAAATATTTACTGTTTAATATATTGTTAGGGCTCTTCTCTCATCACATAAAGGTCTTAGTAATTTCATATATGTATGGACTATTTCCACTTTCTGCTCTCCAGGCATTTTTATATGGCTTAGTTTTATCTTATACTCATTCATTTGTATTTTCATGATTTAGAAAATATATTTTATAGATTTTTGGCAAAGTGATAAATAGAATGGATGAACTTAACAACATTTTAGCTTAAGAAATGCTTAAATTTTAATTAAAGCTGATTCATTTTCTTTTATACATGAGGTGGAAACCATTTATATTATGTTATTACATGAACCCACTGTAATCTATTGATCTATGGAACCCATTCTGATTAACCTGAGTGGCTCATAGGCATTGGATAACCATGCAAGCCAGAGCAAGGGCTGGGTATATGAGGAACTTGGGCCACTGGTCAGGACCTACACACAGATTATGCAGACACTCTTTTTTTCCTGTCACCCTCATTCTCAATGCAGAGGATATTGAAGTGTCAGGAGTGCCCCTACAAGGAGGAATAATTACTCTGTGTGTGTGTGTGTGTGTGTGTGTGCAATTATATTATACTTAAAACTATTGGTTTTGAAACTACAGGATGTTATGTTGTTTGGACATTTTCTCTCACATCAGGGTTGTTGTATGTGGTTTCCTAACTCTTCTGTCCTC